GTATACATATTTATTTATTTGTAGTGGCATTGCGCCAAAGTTGCCAAAAGAGGACTTCTTCCCACCTATAACCATAGATCGATAATTAGAAATGAGCTCGAGTGCGTATCAGTAATCATAATGAGGCGGAACCACTGCAACAAATATGCGATGCTGTGGAGGGTTATACACGTGAACTGTTCCTGATTTAGTTGGCCAGTTTTTGCTCCATTATCGCTTTTTGCTCCTTGCTGTCTTCTGTGTACGATGTGGAATGTTTTGTGCCAGTATGTACGAATTAGCGCTTTCGGATGCGGCGGTACTTTCCTCCACGTATCGCCGATAAACTCCCGGTGTAAATAGTATCTTCTGTATATCTTGTTTAAAATTACTTTTTTTCTACTACTACTTCAACAGTTGCAGTGGTTTTCCTACCTGTCGTATAGTTTGCAATATGGAGAATTTTTAATAAATTTTTCGTTATACAAAGCTAGCAAAAATCCGGGTTGTTTCCTTCTAACCGACCAGAATCACAGAGATTCGCTTCCGCCGTTTTTTTTTTTTTTTTTGCTTGATTGAATTCATCTTAATCGGCTAATGGAAAATTCACAAGCGGAAAGAGGATGGTGTTCATTCAATGCAGTCACTGTAATACTGCGTCTTCAAGTTTACCCGTTATTGTCAGCGACGTTATGTCACGGATCCAAACCGCTGCTTCATTTTAGTTCATACACTTCAGCAGTAGCCGCCTACGGTTTACCGTTATTTTTCTGTTTAGATTTACCAGCCCTTTCGAATTTGCCTGAAACAGTTTCGGGAAATTCTATGCGTGAGTTGCATATTTTTCAAGACTGCAACTTTCAGTGGCCTTTTATTTCTCTCGTTACTTTGAGCAAACGCTTTCTACGATAATTGCATTGTGCGTTTAATCGTACATTGACTAACGTGTGGAGCGCTGCGCTAGCTTTTAGTTCAATTCACTTGAGCCGAATAACGTGATGCAGGTCTTTGCAAGAAAAGTTAGTCGTTAAAGTAGTGCGTTTCTTTCGACTGCTATTACTTATGCTTTTGGAAGAAAAAGCGGGGATGGAGATCCGAACAACGCATGTGAAAAATGGGATAGTCAGAGTAACAGAATTTGCTGTAAATAAGGGTTCTCACCCTTCAAAAAGTGAGGTTACAATTTGGAAGGGACTGTCCACGTTTTTTGCTAGAGGTTGAGGCGTACTGAAATATGTGAGCGACTGATGAGCCAGTGAAAATTAGATTTTTGGAAATTTTCTTGGAGGCCATCAAAGAACCTTCTGGAATTTTAGTAGGCGAGTCAGGGAGTTCTGAAGTCTCTGTAAAAAAATGAGAGTAAAAGGAAATCATTTTTTGGCTGGGCTTAGCACTCTATCTTTAGAAGTTGCTAATGAGCACAGGACGCGGAAGCTGAAGTTGCTGCAAAGAAAGCCCTGCGTGTAATAAATAAACATATTTATTTATTTATTTATTTGTTATATAATATCCCCCTGTTACGTGCAAGATTGCACTTTTTTGCAGTCAACTGCGTGTTGTATATACATGTTTCTTTGGCTTGCTCCGCGTTATGCAGTGAGTCCAATGGGTCCGCTTTACTACGCAGCGCCACCCCGCAGTCAACTGAGCGGCCATTGCACTCGTTTTTTGTTGTTGTTAAGGAGATGGTGTTCAGTCAGAGTAGATTCTTCTGTTGTATAGAATAACTAGTTTTTTTGGTTCTGCATTTTTTATTTCACATATTGGCTATCATTGTTTTTAGTTGGTACTCTCATTGAAAAGTAACTGTGCTTTGGAAGTTTTTTGTTTTTTTTTTCCATGTATTTAGTGATATGTGTTAATGGTCTGTAAGTACTGACTTTAGTCTCTGTGGGAAGAATTCGAAATGCCAGTTTTCACAATTAATACCAACATTCCGGCTGATAAAATTCCAGCGGACTTTTGTCAGAAGACATCCAAGCTTGTTGCAAGTGCATTGGGGAAGCCAGAAAGCGTGAGTTATTTTTACGAAGTGTTGGTCCGTTTTTTTTCTTAATACATTTCTTGAGTCACTGAGTCTGTGAATTATATATGTAAGATTGTAAGTCGGCTGATTAGGTTTACCTTTTGACTCAGCTGTTCCCATACTTTTTCAATTTTTCATTGAGATGGATATTGTTTACGTTTAAATTTTGTTTATCTGTTTTTCAGTACGTATGTGTGTGCGTCAAAGCAGGCTTGCCGATGACGTTTGGAGGCAGTAGTGAGCCATGTGCATCATGCGAAATAAGATCAATTGGGGCAGTTGGAAGGGATTACAACAGATCTCATGCGTCTAAACTTTACCCGCACTTAAGCCAAACTCTTGGGCTTGCTGGGAACCGGTTAATGTTTCGGTTATTAGCATTATTCAGTTTAGATTCTCATTTTTTTTGCTTTCTGCGTTTCTAATCTTTTGATGAACTTGAACTGAGATTCTTTTTGCAGAGTTTACATCGAATTTATCGACGTTAGCGCTTCGACAATGGCTTTCAACGGCAGCACTTTTGCGTAGGCTTTCAATGACAGCACTTTTGCTACACTGATCAGCATGTCGTTCAAGAGGAGTTTAGTTAATGTTTGGTATTAATTATTTGTTCTCGTAAGTTCTTTGGATAGATTAAGCATCCTCGTTAAATTTATGTGAATTTTGGGGAATAAAATTGTTTTTTTAACCAGTCCTGGTTGTCTCGGTGGCATATTTTACTGTGGAGAAATGTGGTCTAGTTAGGGGCCTATTTCGGACAAGTGTTTGTAATGGTGCTTCATGCAGAGGGAGGTCAGAGGTTAGGTTCCTCAAAGAGATATTTCAAAGCTGTTTATCCTCGATTGCATACATTGGGTGGTAAGTTCAGGCTTCAGTTTTGCCTCTACGAGTAAGTCTCGTGGTGTTGTTTTTTGGAATGCGCCGTTGTAGGGTGCTCCTGGCGCTTGTTATACGTTGCTTTGTGGGCTTCAGTTTTCGAGATGAGTGTGTAACCGGTTTCCGTTTTGATGTCCTTTGATTCAGAAGTTTTACGCGTTTGTTCAGTGGTATTTCAGAAGGTCAGGTTTTTATTGCGGTCGCTGAGCCTTGCAGGGATTTGAGGCCACTTTTTTCTGCAGCACATTTCACTTTTCTGGTTTTAAGATTAGTTTGATAACAGGTCATTTTCCCGGTCTTTACGTGCTCTTTAGAAGCTGGCAATTTTTTTGGTGTTTCTTGATAGCCAGGTCAAAAATTTTAAAAAAAAATTGAAATTCCGGCTTGGCCTCTGTGTTTTTGGGAACAAATGTCATGACTCGATACGTTCTCTGTGCAGCTTTTACAAAAAGCATCGTCATTCTTCCTTTCTTTTTCACTTCTGCTTAACTTTCTAGCGTCTAGCTGCTGGTGCAGCTTCCTACCTTTCGGCGTGCTCGGCACATCTTCTATTCTCCTAATTTGTCTAAGGTGTATGTTGAAGTTCTGTTCCCTCAACGAAATAGTTACTTTTTATCGTTTTTTGGTATGTAGTTCATATTTAGGCAGTTGGATGGATTTCATTAAAAAAAAAAAAAAACCGTTGTGTTTTCTGAAAAGACGGGAAATTTTTTCTGATTTTGGGAACTCCTTTGTTTGTAATTGATGTTTTGAACAATTACACTGGCATCGTGTTTAATGTGCGTGCAACATCTTTAAATCTAATTTTTAGTTGCTTTAGACCTTCGCTAAATTCATACGAAACGTTGTTTCTTTATGTCAGGATGTCAGTAATGTCATTAATTTTCTTTGCAGGATCTGGCACCAATTTCTTCAGGTTTTTGTAATTATTGCTACAGCAACATGTGATGACTTCTAAGACAAAAACAAATGATGGTATTTGTGTTGTTGAAGGAACAGCTACTTAACACACAACATAAGATGACTAGAAAAAAAAGCTGGGAAGAACAGAAGCGAATGGAATTAGTTGCTGTATGTAAAAAAAAAACTGGAAGTAACCAAAAAAGGGCTGGGAACTTCTGGTTGGTGGAATTTTTGCAAAGACTGGTTGGGAGATGCAGAGCAAAATCAAAGATGACTGGTTTTAACGTGACATTTTTAACTTTGCAGTTCTTTGCTTTTCCCGAGGATATTCGACCTGAAGACTGATGGTAGTAGAATACGGCCAGTTTTTGGAAGTTAGAAGATTTAAAAAGCTCAGAAGGTAACATATTTGACTGGAGAAACTAAGCACAGTCACAATACGTTATCAGTTTGAGATTTGCAGAGGATAAGATTTTTACCACTCTGGCGCCTCATCATGAAATGTCCTTTGAAGGAAAATGAGCACCTTTTTGAAATTTCTGCTGTCTACACGTATCTCCTTGAGTGGTAGCTTTAAAAGCACTAAGTTGCTGTTTTGGATTGCGCGTATGGCAAGTTATTTCGTAGTTGGCAGGTTTTTGTAGTGGCATTTGGCTACGCGTTTGTTATCACTCTGTAACAAGATTCCTTCATCCCCATTTTCTTATGGATAGGCGTTATCTTTGCTGAAGTATTCGCGCTTTTTTGGGGTAAGGAGTCAGAAGAGACGAAGACTTTTGTCCCTTATTCCTTTTCAGAAAGGTACTGCGGAAGTGTTGCAGAAATGGCTTTAACCTTGAGTAAGGTTAGATTGTCAGACTAAATTAGGACTTGTAGTTTTTGGTGTAGGAGGAGTTTCAGTCTGGCATCTCATAGCTTTTCTTTAAGGACCTGTTGAGGTGAGGTTGGTTGTATTTGTTTGCGCGTATCTCCTCCTCTTTTCACATGTCCAGTGCAAATCCGCATACGTAGAATTGTCAGATATTTTTTCCATCATTATTTTTTACTTTTCTAATTCTATTGTGTACTTTTGTGACTCATTTTCGGAGGAAGCGTAGTACAGTGGAGTTTTACTCCAATCTTGAGTCTTGTGCTGGGGGTGAGTCAAAAAATGAGCAGGTATTTCTGTACTTGTAGGAGGTTAAGAGACCTCACATACGAGAAATGGCCAGCTATGCAAGTTTTTTTTTGAGCAAATTCCGTTAACAACTCTAACCGATATATATACTGTACTGAGGGTTCCACTAATTGATGTTGCATCGGTCACCAACCCGTTTACTCACGGAGGTATCACCATTTAGGGTTTAATTCTCAGGACGTACACGCCAATTGATCGTGTGGTTCGATACGAAGGGAAACATTCATGCTAGCTGGATTCAATGCCCCATTATTTTGTGCTTTACTTTTTAAGCAAGATTCAACCTTGAGAAATTTAAACTCCTCCAAAGTTATTTTTATGTTTATTACATCGAGTATAGTTTTTACGCATATTCTGTGCTTTTGACTGTAAGGCGGTTTGCTGTGAAGTTAAGAGGCTATTTTATAAACTATCCAGTTTTTTTTTTTT